AACGATGGTGAAGAGCTCCGACTCATACCGCTGGCGGCGACGGCTCGCCTGTGCGCGGCGCTCGTTAATGACCTGCAGCAGCTTCGCGTACTCCGGGTTGGACGGGTCGAGGGCAAAGGAGGACGCACTGTTGCCCACAAAAGCCTTCTGAAACCGTGGGTCCGCCTTTGCAGCTGCCAGCGCCTTCCCCTTCGCGCCCACGCTAGTCGCGTCAGATTCGTGCACTGCCAGCGCCTCCCCGTCGTCGTTGTTGTCGTCATCAGCAGCAACGCGTTTGAACTTGCTGATGCGATTCTCCCACCGCTGCTCCTTTCTGCGTCGCGCGTTCTCCTGCACGTAGCGGTTAAATTCGCCGGGGTCAACGACGGCCTTCAACTCGCGGTACAGGCGATTCTCAATGAAGGCACCATGCATAACAGGCCGCACCTTCCCGCCTGCGAGGTCCTCAGCCGTCATCCCAAGTGCGTCCATTTCGCTTTTTGAGACAAAGGTGTAGTCGTCATACACAGTGGTCATCTCTTTCTCCTCCAGCTCTTCGGTGAGAACCTCAAGGAATGAGGCCCATTGAGGTGCGACGCCAAGTTGCGGGATAAAATGCACCTGCACACGTGGTGCATCGCAACAGATGCAAACCACGCCGCTGTCATTACAGTCATACGGTTCTGCAATGTTATGTTGACTACGCAGAACACAGAAGTCCGTAATATCGGCAGGCGCCTCGATGCTTGTAAAATTACTGCCATCTTTTTTGTTCCACACCTTCAGCGAGCGTGAGTCCGCAGAGAGAACATGTGAGGCCTCGCCAGTCGAAGTGCTTTGGCCCTGGAAGAAGTACGTCTTTACAATGGGCAAGGAGTTCATGTGGTCCTTGACAATGAGCGGCTTGTGAAGCCGCAGGTCGTACAAGAGGACATGCCCACACTCCGTGCCGCAGCTAAACAGCAGTCCACTCTCGTCGTCGGTCGCTATGTGACGCAGCTCACAGCACTCATCAATGCCGGAGAAGGCACCGGGGCCAGCAACCGTCAGGCGTGCCGCACATGAACCTGCACGACTGTCCCAGGCCTCCACAACACCGTCTGCGCCAGCACACATAATAAGCCCATGATTCTTAAACACCTCCACATGATTGACACCATCGGCAGACTGGGTCTTGTAACTCTCTACAAAGGCACCTGTCTCAAGGCTCAGGCGAAAGATCTCGTGCGAGGTGCCACTTGACAGAAGCTCGGCAGAGTACGGATGGTAGGCAAGCGAGCGCATGGTGTGCGGGACTCTGACGCGGTCAATAATGGACGCTGAGTGATGCACAGTAATTTGTCGTCCCTCGCCTCGCAGCGCAAACTTGCGGAAGTCAGGTGAGAGTGAAACACCGCCAAGAATAGGCATGTCAGCGTTAAAGCTATACTTCATGCTGAGCTGGTTCACATCAAAGCACTTTAGCCGCGGTGGGTAGTCCCCGGCGGCGAACAAGTGCGTTCCGTTCGCAGTGCGAAAGATGGTGCGCGCAAAGTGCGGAAACTCAAGATCGTGGATAAGTTCAACGCGGTGTTCCCCCCCTGCAAGACGCTTATTTTTCTTCCGCTCACTAATCCACTCCGGCAATGACTTACCCGCGGTGAGGTTATACGTCTTCACCTTGTTATGCAGCGACACCTGCATCGTCTACACTCTGTCTTGTTACGCTTACAGCTACGCGTTTGTGTGTTTCCTCCTCCTTATCGCTACTTCCACCTTAAAACAAAACAAAAAGAAAAAAAAACTGTTTTCCCCGCACGTTGCCCCACTCCACACGACCTCCGCTGCAAGAAAATGCTGCAACCACCACATCCGACAGTAACGCAAGAGAAAAAAAACGGAAAAAAAACAAAAAAAGG